GTCCAATCTGTCTGGCTTCACATTGTCCTTGCCCTGTCTGGAGTGCTGCCACTCTGGGTGAACGGAGCAGAGAGTTGATCGAAGTCCTGCTTCACATTCACTGCTGGCACCAGATGGTTCACTGATGCCTTCAGACGCACGTGTGGTGAGCTTTTTATACAGCACATCTTTAAGGGTTGTAGTGGCGGCTTTTGCCTCTAGAGGGCCAGACTCTGGGCTGCTCTGGGTTTTGTTTTGGCCTCGGACCAGGAAACTTTCATCCCTATCATCACCACACAAGGGAGATGAGTCAGATTCCCACAGGGATTCTTGCTTCTGTAGAGACTCCTTCCTCTCTGACCAGTCCTGTCTCTTCACAACCATCTTCGACTTCAGCTTTTCTTTGTCGAGCTCTTCGACAGATTCTTGCCGGCCCATCTTGCGACTGATGGGCCTCTTTAAGCAGCCCTGCTCAACAGGTCGTACACGGGTGACTGCCAGCGCTTCACAGGCTGATTCTTCCACACTCTGCAGCACAGTGTGATCCTGCTCCCCAGTTCGCAGCTCCTCATCCTGCACTTCCTCTTGGGTCACTTCCAGGCTGTGTTTTCTGGGACACAGATGCTTCTTATCTCCTGTGTAAGAGGGAGACAGCTTCTCCTCAGACTGGACTCGTTTTAGGAGGGGTGAGCGAGGTGGCTCAGCACTTTTGGGGCGCACCATATGGCGTACAATTGTAGGTGGGGAATGTATTTTGGCTGGGAAGCCTTGGCTTGTCTTGGAAATGGCAACAGAATGCCCACTAAGAAGAGGAGAGGGTGAGCGCTGAGGAGATGTTGGCTGGGGAGTAGGTGAAGGTGTGCGAGCCAAAGGAGAGAGGGGAATGCTACCAGCAGACTTGCGGCGCCCCTGACGAAGCCTCTGACCAGGCAGTTTGGGGCCGAGCCCGTGGAGAGTGCTGGGACGAATGTGGCCGGAGCCTGCAGGGGAGTTTGGAGCACTGGAGCTGGGAGAGCTACTCTGGGACGAGTTACCCCCTGGAATTTGTAAGCACAAAAACCAGTGACTATCAGGAATTAAACATAATACAGTGGTGTGAAAAAGTGTTTGCCCCCTTACTGATTTATACAGTGGTGTGACAAAGTGTTTGCCCCCTTACTGATTTCTTATCTTTTTGCATGTTTGTCACACTGTAATGTTTCAGATCGTCAAACAAATTTATATATTAGTCAAAGATAACACAAGTAAACACATCATGCAGTTTTTAAATGAAGGTTTTTATTATTAAGGGAAAACAAAATCCAAAACTATATAGCCCTGTGTGAACAAGTGTTTGCCCCCCTGTCAAAACACTGGTTTATCGCACCTGAGTTCAATTTCTCTAGCCACACCCAGGCCTGATTACTGCCACACCTGTTCGCAATCAAGAAATCACTTAAATAGGACCTGCCTGACAAAGTGAAGTAGACCAAAAGATCCTCAAAAGCTAGACATCATGCCGAGATCCAAAGAAATTCAAAACCAAATGAGAAAGAGAATAATTGAGCTCTATCAGTTTGGAAAAGGTTATAAAGCCATTTCTAAAGCTTTGGGACTGCAGCGAACCACAGTGAGAGCCATTATCCACAAATGGCGAAAACATGGAACAGTGGAGAACCTTCCCAGGAGTGGCCGGCCGACCAAAATTACCCCAAGAGCGCAGCGACAACTCATCCAAGAGGTCACAAAAGACCCCACAACAACATCCAAAGAACTGCAGGCCTCACTTGCCTCAGTTAAGGTGAGTGTTCATGACTCCACCATAAGAAAGAGACTGGGCAAAAATGGTTTGCATGGCAGAGTTCCAAGACGAAAACCACTGCTGAGCAAAAAGAACATAAAGGCTCGTCTCAGTTTTGCCAGAAAACATCTTGATGATCCCCAAGACTTTTGGGATAATACTCTGTGGACAGACGAGACAAAAGTTGAACTTTTTGGAAGGTGTGTGTCCCATTATGTGTGGCGTAAAAGTAACACCGCATTTCAGAAAAAGAACATCATACCAACAGTAAAATATGGTGGTGGTAGTGTGATGGTCTGGGGCTGTTTTGCTGCTTCAGGCCCTGGAAGACATGCTGTGATAAGTGGAACCATGAATTCTGCTGTGTACCAAAATATCCTGAAGGAGAATGTCCGGCCATCCGTTTGTGACCTCAAGCTGAAGCGAACTTGGGTTCTGCAGCAGGACAATGATCCAAAGCACATCAGCAAGTCCACTTCTGAATGGCTGAAGAAAAACAAAATGAAGACTTTGGAGTGGCCTAGTCAAAGTCCTGACCTGAATCCAATTGAGATGCTGTGGCATGACCTTAAAAAGGCAGTTCATGCCCGAAAACCTTCCAATGTGGCTGACTTACAACAATTCTGCCAAGATGAGTGGGCCAAAATTCCTCCACAGCGCTGTGGCAGACTCATGGCAAGTTATCGAAAACGCTTGATTGCAGTTGTTGCTGCTAAGGGTGGCCCAACCAGTTATTAGGTTTAGGGGGCAAACACTTATTCACACAGGGCTATATAGTTTTGGATTTTGTTTTCCCTTAATAATAAAAACCTTCATTTAAAAACTGCATGATGTGTTTACTTGTGTTATCTTTGACTAATATATAAATTTGTTTGACGATCTGAAACATTACAGTGTGACAAACATGCAAAAAGATAAGAAATCAGTAAGGGGGCAAACACTTTTTCACACCACTGTATATGAAACAAGAATAATCAACAAAACGTCTGAACATTCAAGCTCATTAAGATCAGGTTAAAATCTCCACCTGACTGTGTGAAATCTGGTGCGGGGCGGAAGGCGGCAGTAGGGGAACGAGGGGAGACACTGTGAGTAGGGGAGCCAGGGAGACTCTCACCAGACGACAGAGAGTGGTTGAGAGAGCTGAAACTGCGGCTCGTATGCAGGAGAGGAGACGGCTGCATGGCGAACCGCCTGAAAAGGGAGCGCCGCCTGGAAAAAAGGGAGACAATAATAAAGACATCAGTCAACTGTGGATAGTTTGAAACTGCCTTTTATAACGAATGCCATTATTAAAATATATGGCTACAAACAAACTATTATGTTATTAATTCTCTAATCAAAAATGTTTTTTTATTACTCTAAACTGGAAAATCTAAAACAACTTCTTTCGGCTGCTCCACTTTCTGGGGGTGTCATCACAGCAGATCACTTTGACCGATGTAGCACAGGTTTTACGCTGGATAGCCTTCTTGATGCAACTCATTTAATATGATATCAAAAGCTTAGGTTCACATTTTGAAAAAACATGTTGTGGAAAACCTTTTAAATCTACACAGAACTGACCTCTCTGGAGTCTTCTCCTTCTTGGGCCTTCTGGCACATTTGACCATCTTGCTCCTGTAGCTATTCCTCCTTGCTGGACCAGTTTTTATTGAAGTATTTTCAAATGGGGTTGTGGAGATGGCTACTTTGCTACCACTCTGAAACAGAGGGACAAAACTCTGGAGTTGGCCCGGGTCAGACTACACGACAGCTCTTAGAAATAGAATTTACTTCACTGCAGTCAGGATTAGCTCAGTCTCAATACTGTGTGTGGCTGCTGATCATTAGTAAAGAGGTTAATTTATTTTGATTGACACAAACTGCTTCAGTCCAGTAAATACAACACAGCTGGACTTTTGCTTTATCTCTCTTCTAAAGAGCCACTGAGGTTTGTAAAGGAAACATCCACTCAGCAGGTTCAGCACACATCCAGTTGATTAGCTGATATATTCTTTAGCCTGGTCAGTATTGGTATTTAGCCCTTAAATTAATTTAACCTGGACAATTTGGTTAATCTGTACTATGTCATTAAAAATATACATTTTGAAAACACCATAAAACATCTAATTATGAGGCTGAGGTGTAGTATATGTGAAAACAAAACTGTTAAACTTTGAATAGTTGCAGTTTAAAAATATTCACACATTCTCATTTACCTTGAGCAGGAGCTCCACCACTTCAGTGTGGACAAGACCGTGAACTGGTTCTCCGTTGACATGAGTAATTAGGTCTCCAGCTTTCAATCCTGCTTTATGTGCAGGCCCTCCATCTTCTACATTCTGATTGGAGACAAAGAGATATTTATTGTTATTACAAGTATGTAGGTTGAGTCATGGCTGACAGCTTTCTCATCTGCTGTCCATTTGGCTCTGACCAATGAAGGAGATTTTAAGCTTTGGTCCAGTTTGTGTTCACACGTGGTTTTTACAGACAAATGAAGAGCTGTAGACATGTAGTCAATGACTGGGCAGATAGAAACCTCTCATTTCAATAAGCTCAGGTTTGATTCTGCAGCAGATTTGACTGAATGCTTTCACACCACTAAAAACACCAGACCTGCCCCCAACAGGTTTGGGGTGAATGCATCCTAGTTATATCTGATAGGTTTGTCTGGTCCTTACCCAGACCATGTGATAGACTGTATAGGTGTCACCGTCGCATGCATACACCCGGATAGCCCTCAGCGTGAAGCCAAACTTCTTTCCAGAGCTGTGGATCACCACAGGCTGCTGTGGGTTGGTGGAACAGAGGGAGGAGTCTCGGCTTGGAGAGGAGTCTCTTGAGGATGGGTCTGAGGAGAGGGAGTAAGGAGACAGGGGACTGGCCAGCGGTGACACCCCGACGACATCTGGGAAAACAAGAGATGATCACTAACTGGGCACATTCTTTTATTTAATCAATCAGACTCTGAATGGCTCGAGTCAGCAGCGAGGTGCTGTGATAAAGCTCATGAGCTGGGTTCACTCTGCTCCTGCTGGGGGGGAAACTAATGGCACTGTCTCTCTCACAGTAGTCAAAACCTCTTGCTCCTGCCTCCCCTACTTATGCTCCATGTTAGCGGCTACTTGCTCGCAGCCACTCTGTAAAATGGAAGTCGCAGCAGATGTCATGCTGGGCCATTTTCGCACACATCTACAGTGCGCTCTCATCACTTTTACTTTATTTGTTTCAGAGTCTATTGCTCTTATTGTAATTCTTGACATGTTTCTGCTCTGACAACCTTCAGTGAAGAGGCTGAGAACATGTTTTTAGTCAATACATGCACATCTCTGCATTCCCGTGGGTGTTCTTCCACTTACCCCCAGGGATCATTAGCGAAAGGGCACTAGCTGACACAGACTTCGGGACTTTTGCCGCAGCTCTGGTCTTCTCTGCAGCAGTCTCGGGTTGTGGAGAGGCGGTCTGAGCCCCCTGGTCTGAAGAAGTATGACTGGTACTGTCGGGGCTCTCCACTCCCTCACCTCTGGGTGTCAGCTGGTCCAGATGTTCTGAGAAACTTCCTAATTATTACCAAAGAGGTTCACAAGGTGAGGCACACAACTATAATGAACAAATGAGAATTTTCTCTGTCATTATCATTATGATTGTTCCCTTCGAGCTGTTAACCGTTCATGTTATACTAAGCTAATCGAGCAACCGAGTGGCATGTCATCTTAATTCTTGGCAGGAAAGCACATCAGCATACTTCTCAGTTTCTTTAAAAGCTGGTAAACCGGCCAAGCAAGTAGCCTGACGTAAAAGCAGCCGAAATACAACAATGAAAATCTGAAGGTTTTTAATATAAACATCATCTCTACTAGTCCTCAGTGTGGAGCCTTTTGTTTGGATACTACTGTTTGATTGTCCTGAAGGCAACTTACTGTACAACTTATTGATCATTGATTTGTCATTTCATACCTGAGAGCGTGGCTCCGCTGTGGGTGCTGCCTGGAGTGGTAGCGTCAGGCTCGTTCTGCGGGGGCTCCCCAACGGAGGCGACGGCCTTGCTGGGGTCACCGAGGCCCGACGGCTCATCTCCTTCACTCTCCATTGAGATGGCAAACTTTGGTAGCAGGCTCAGGTGAGGCCCCTGATTCAAACTGTCCGTGTCCGTCGAGTGGGACAGCGAGGGCCTGGACGAGGGACAGAACAGATCCTCATGAGATGAGCAGAATCTCACACTCTGGAGGAGCCAAGTGTTGTCTGAATATACTATACAGTACATATTAGTGTTATAGTTTTATGTGAGAATAACTGGAATGATTGTGAACAATTTCTGCTCAGTGAGAGATGGTATAAGGAGTGTTATCGCTGCCGTTAACTTAGAAGGTCAACATTCAAAGTGCACCTCTGAGTTAGATGTAAAAAGTTAAACAGCATTATCGCTGAAGGAGGGAGGTTTCCTCATTGTTAGTTTGTTGTTAGTTTGCCTCAGTCAACTCTTTTTGACCATTTGCATGAAACTAATTTGATTTTTGACGAGTGACAGCAATAAGTAAAGCTCCAAATTTCTCATCGGCCCATTAAGTGGAAATGTAAAAAATACAGATGTGACCAAGTTACAAACTAAAGTAGCAGCCAAATGTCTTTAAATTTAGTGACTGCGCTATTGAGTTAATGTAGCATTTCTTAAATAAAATTTAATATACAGTACATTTATCTGATAACTAGTCACTTTGCAGATTCACATTTTACATTAAAAATATTATACGAGCTCATAATATACAGTGACTTATAGATTTATCCAGTGGTTCCTTACTCTTCCCCAATTAGCACTGGGTGGGCCAGACATGAAAAAGTTTTACTATTTTTGTCTGTACGTAGAAAGGCTCATCTCAGGCATGAACTGCATTTTTGATTTCTGTTAACTGCTATTTATGTTTATGTGTGGTTTAGTGAGCTAATACTGGAGTTACAGGCTTGATTCAAAGAAGGACACAAGCGCACATTTCAGCAAACTCTGGCGTCCAGCTGAGAGAGTCCACAGTCAGTGGGCTCTCGCTCTTCTTCTCCTCGCTCTCGCCCTTCTCCTCCAGGTGACCACGGGACAAATCCAGGCTGCTGTAAACCTGACACCCACACAGAAACAATGTTGTTTCTCATTGTAGTACAGGAAGGCAAACATGTTCATGCATCGCCAGGTTCAGAATAAACTACAAAGTTGAGTTATTCTAGACAGATTCATTGTGACCCTATATTTACACACCAAGACTTTTAAAATCGACAGTTAAGAGAAGCCCAGAAACACTTTGCTGTCTGTTTTAATACAGACTTCATCGTTGCCTTACAAGCATGGGGTTTAGGTGCAGCAGAGGAACTTAAGACTTCCTCTGAGACACCCCGCTGCTTCTTGAGACATGTGTTAATGCTTCGTTTAGATATATGGGGGGGGTTATACTGCAATGCAGCACAACAATGACTCCCACCTTGTATGACTGTATTGTGTTTCATGTTACTGAAAAAAGAAATCTGATTTGCAAGCAGAAAATATATGCAAAGCCGAAATCTGTAGAGAGAGGGGGGTGGGGGTGGGGGATGGGGGGTGCAAAGTGTTTTCTATGCACACATTTCCATATGAAATACCAATTGCTTATACGTTCTTTCCCATGAGGAAGGGATCAGGACAGATGAGGGCATGAACTCATTTACATCACCAACATCTCTGCCGGTAATGATGATGCATGCGTGACGCTCTGAGACCAGAGATTACGGACACACCTTAGAGAATCTGTGAGAACAAGAGGAGAACTGCCGCAGGTCTACATTGAAGTCTTCATCGTTGGTATCCTCTTCCTCTGTCTCCAGGTGATGGTATCTCTCAGAGCGAGCTGAGGACAACAGGAGGTTTATTTTTCAGATGTTTTTATTCATGAGTGCCATGGGCTGATTTGAGTACATATTATATCTAACCTTTAATTAGAATTTCTATTTGGTTATAACAACATAACAGCAAGTCACTAGATGTATTAGCTAGTTATTTCAAAATAACTTGAATGCCAATGTCAGTTTACATGTGGGTTTTTATGTGGTTTCAAATTGTTTGTGTTTTATCTGTGTCCACAGTGTTTCAACACAAATCTTTACGGACAAAGGAAAGTGCCAGTGTAGGAACTTTAAGCACTAATAGTGTCAAGAAAATGTACTGATTGTGCAAAATGTCCATAGAAGACTCCCACTCATGGCTCCTCCAGGCAGCCCCCTCACTCCTCAGAGCAGGAATAGGAGCTGTGGTACGTGTCCTTCAAGATGGCGGACTGGAACGACTTCTGAGTGACGAGCAAGGAGCGGTCAAATAAGGTAACTGGGATTTACCCTGTGAGTTAGCTGTGAGCTACAACTTGTTTTAGCCTATATTTGTTGACATGTTGGCAAATTAGCACCATTAAAAATACACTGGATTAGCTATTAGCAGTTCCTGTTTTACTTGTACTGACAGTTGCCACTGGATTACTTTGATACTAAAGGAAACCTAATGTGGTGATTATTCAAGTTATAAGAAGCACCTTTAGGGTGCAAATGTGAAAAACATACAGCCAAAAGCTTTTTGGTGAAATTTTTGTCCTTCTGGTTTTCTGTTTGACCGTGTTAGCTAACTCACTGTCAAAGTAGCTGGTGTCGTCTTCAGACTCCAGCTGTGGAATGAACTCGGCCTTCTGCCTCAGCAGGCCATTCCAGTCCAGGTTGTGGAAAAACGGATGCTGCTTCACTTCAGCAGCTCCACCTGCAGATGGCATAAATACAGATGAATAACAAGAATATCGCTTTTTTGGACAAATGTGAAAACAGCTTCTAAAATAAACACAGAAAACATGAGACAGTGACACTGAATAGCTCAGTTAGGCACACAATGTTTGCTTGTGCAATGTTTTTCTTGGCCCTAGTGGCTGATGAAGTTGATATCGTGACCATAAATTATGCAGCACAATTTCCTGCCTATGACTTCTGGTGGAATAAATGGAGCCCGGGGAGGGGAGACAACGGACAGAACAGATCTCAATGACCACAAAGGTCCGACTGTCCCTGAAATGAACTGGCTACATGCATCCTCCTGATCAAAAGCCTTTGCCCCACATCAGGGACTTTTACAGTACACACATTTACACATACAAGGAACTAGATTCTGGCAAGGAAATAATCAACTGATCAAAGAGGAGAGGAGAGTGGGTCTGAGGATAAACTGCTCTGCTGCTTGCTGACCTCAATTCCTTCCCTGGTGACATAGAATAATGAGCAGTGCTGAGGTGGCACTAACGATCACATGAGAATTTATGGTGGCCTGCTGTCTCGTGCTAACCGAGTTACTGCTCTGTGCGTTAGTACCTGTGCCCATTCTTTCCAGAGGATTCTGTCTGAGCAGCAGGGTGATGAGCTCCTGAGCATCAGGAGGTGGCGCCTCCTCTCCCTCAGGCCAGTTGATCTCATCTGGAAACACAAATCATACAACCACCTTGAATTAAAAATACCCCAGATATAAACAGCCCAGTTCAGTTGATTTTACTGTAGATTATCATGTGTAACATGGTTTTGAAGCTGAAAAACTCCTGTTTACAGGTAAGACATCTCATACTGTTACTGCACGTGTGGCTCTTCAGTGAATTTTGCAAACATTTGTCAAGAAGTCTGATCTGATGCGAGCTCAGAGTTTCAGCGTGCTGGATGGAAAATGCATCACATCGCGCTGTGTGGCTGCTAAGTAACTATTAAATCCTTATGAGTGAAGCTTTGCCTTATAACCAGGCATCTAACTTGGAGTTCTGAACTTGCAAAACACTTTTGGCATGTATCTGATGTATTTTGACAGTAAAGAGGATCATTTTCAAACGGCCTGATGTTACAGATACAATATTCTATGAATAATATGTCCTTCGGGAAACATGCAGGAATTTCATAAAACTAACATAACTTTTAAAAAAATTCCCAACAGCGTCTGTGCTTCACAGTTAAACCTGTAGGGCTAACGTCCTATGGTCTGCGTTGGCTGCCGTTTTGCTACACTACTGTAAATACTTTTCTATACATTGAAGTGCACAAACACTCACACACCAGTGACATTACAACTAGGTTCAGCGTCTTTCTCAAGGACACTTCGACATGTGGACTGGAGAAGCCGGGGATCGAACCGCTGACCCTACAGACCCCACAGTAAAATCCATTTGAAAATACAAGGATGGATGCCACATAAACATTTGACCTTTAAATAATAATTGTACTGCTGAACAGGAAGTGGTTTAAATGCTAAAACGCTTGTTTGCTGATGAGAAACCTAACCACAAAACAATCAGATTATCACTACAAGAACAAGTCTATGCATGAAACGGTTTTATTCTGCCACAGAATTTTAATAATAATAATAATAATAATCTTTATTTGTACCGTGCTTTCCAGCTCAAGAGCACAAAGTTAAGAACACTCATAAACAGACAGAAGCCAAATAGATATCCAGAAGTGACGAAAATCAGTGAACACGCTAAACATTAAAAGCTTGTTTGAAAAGATGCGTTTTTAACGCTGCCGGCTCAGTTATCGAGCGTATATCTAAAGGCAGGGAATTCCACAGCCTAGTTTTACACTGTGGCCTTAGACCCCTTCATCCAACTGTGCCCCCCCGAGGCTGCCATTTGTGACACTTCACTCTAAAATGTTCCTTTTAAAAAAGCTGCACCAGATGAATCAGAATCAGTTTGTAGGTGTAAGAATGAGACAATCTCACATCAGCTTTCAGTGAAAAACTTCCTCCATCAGAAATGTAAAGGGGAGCAGAGCCTGTCTGTACCATGATCTCTGCACAGCTTGTCCCCCATTTTAATCAAATTTGGGAGGAGCGCTATGAATATGTATGTGCGGCCTGAGGCCACAGTGGCATGCGTTCACCGTGTTCAGGCCCCTTTAATTAACAGTTATTCTCAGAGGCTTGGTACAGTTTGATTGAGAGCAAACCAAATCAGACATGGCGTGCCATTCATTTCCATGGCACAGACTGAGGCTGTTATCCACACAACCATTCATCTGAGCCACAACACTGATAAGATAAAAGCTCTTATTTTCAGGATGAAGATTTTCTGCTGTCGCCAAAATATTAAAACATCACTTGTGGTCTGAAGTCAAACTAAATCCACTTACTGCCATCTGTTTTGCTACCGACCCTTAGGGAAATCTCAGTCTTCAATAAATTGACAAATACGTGAGGTAACTAATTCCTTGTCATCACTATGCAAATGTTTAATTCCTATCTAAATGAGGTTTGGAAATTTCTCCTGATGTGCTCAACAGAATCTACACGGCAGGTGCTGGGACACTTCGCCTGTATCACCTCTAGCAGCAGGAAACGCCATCTAGTAAATGTCTGTACTAGATAAACTGACATAAGTAAGAAAATAACTTTTCATCTTTTAATTACAAACATAAATAAGGCAGTTGATGGGTTTCGCATATGATATAGTTGCAAAAAGCAATCAACTGATCAGTGCGATGTAATGCTATAGAGCCAGTCCCAGCTGACATTGGGCGAGAAGCAGGGTCCACCCTGGACAGGTCTCCAGTCTGTCACAGGGCTGACATGTAGTCCGACAACCACATTCACTCCTACGACCAATTTAGAGTCGCCAGTCAACCTAAGCTGCATGTCTTTGGACTGTGGGAGGAAGCCGGAGCACCCAGAGAGAACCCACGCAGACACAGGGAGAACATGCAGACTCTACACAAAAAGGCATTGGGTCGGCCTGGGATCAAACCTGGAAACTTCGTTCCACTGTGCTGCCTGTAATTAAAATAAAAAGCTTAATTTACTGGCTTTAACCAGCAAGTTAACCCGTTTGTACCCAAACGAGATGACAGCACTCGACTGAGGATCAACATCTATCGGTGCGGTCTGAGCCGCAGGTCACTGTGAGGCAAAACTGTCACAGACATGATGCCACAGAAGGCAGGCAGCACTGACCGCTGATGACCTGTCCAAACAGCTCCTCTGGTGTGTCTCCAAAAAAGGGCACGCAGCCCACAAGGAATTCATAGAGGATGATGCCCATAGCCCACCAGTCCACTGGCTTTCCGTAGCCTTGTCTCAGGATCACCTCTGGAGCAATATACTCAGGGGTCCCACACACCTGTACAGAACGAAAACACGACAGGTGTTGTAAACATGAGTCAACACGTGTGTGGAAGTCGTCACACCTGTCCATCAGGTTAAAAAACATTCACCATACCTGCTTATCAGAGAACTCCCTGGCATCTTTCTCTATATGCCCCTCATACAGGTTAGTGGTCATGTTCATCAGCCCAACCTTGGAGAGCCCAAAATCTGTCAGTTTAATGTGCCCCATTGATGTAACCAGCAGACTGTGAAGAGGAGGGACAAGGGGAAGAGAGTGAGACAGACATATATTGAATTGTGATAATAAAATGACTGGTATAGACTGTATAACTGCAGGTAAGCTGTAGAGCAGTTTAGCTTCCAGACACGGATCACTAATAAAACCTGTGCAGATTATTTGTATTCGTTTGGCTTTTTGAAATAATGAAAGATTTGAGGAAGTAGCCAAGTTCTTTACACAAATAAAAGTAGTAATACCACAATGTAGAAGCACTACATTATAAGTAAAACCCATATAAAGTATTACAAGCTACGTGTACTTAAAGTATCAAAAGTAAAAACACTCATTAAATGTTCTACTTTGTGTTATTGGACTATTATCATTAAAATAATTTATGCATTAACATGTAAACAACATTTCAATGGAATGTTCCTTTTAGTTTGTTTGTTGTTCTCCACCAATTCCTGAGGGAAATAGTTGGCTCTTTATCTGCTCACCACTTCACCATGTTCCCTAGCTGGTCTCTAACATCATGTGTCTGCTAAGCAGGAAGCCTACAGCTGTTACTGAAAACAGCTGCCTGCTAACCCAAAAATAATACTGCCAGTGAGGGGGAACCAAAACAGTAATTTTACAGGCAGGAAAACCAAAACAAGGAGCTGAAGGATGTTATAATCCTCCATCCAGCTGAGGGGGACCGCCGAGTTCTCTGCAAGTAAAGAGAAAATAGTTAGCAGCTGCTTTAAACTGTGCGACGTCTCACTTGTCTGGTTTGAGATCTCTGTGGACGATGCCATAGTTGTGGAGATATTCCAGAGCCAATACTGTCTCAGCAAAGTACATCCTAGCCATATCCACAGGCAGAGGACCCATGTTCTTCAAAAGGGTGGCACAGTCTCCTCCTGCAAAGACCAACAGACTAATGTCACAGATGTGCTTCAGATAGTTACACACAGGAGACACTGCTGAAGTGGACCACCTTTAGCTGCAGCACTATGCGCTACAACACCGAGCTGCTGACCTTCAACATATTCCATGACCATGCACAGGTGCCGCCGTGTCTCAAAGGAGCAGTACATGGACACCACAAAAGGGTTCTCAGCAAAGGTGAGGATGTCTCTCTCCACAAAGGCCTGCTGTATCTGGTTCCTCAGCATCAGGTTCTGCTTGTTGATCTTTTTCATGGCAAACCGCTGCTTAGTTTCCTTGTGCCGAACCAGGTAAACAGCTCTGTGGAATAAACAGTTTACCAGTCAGCTGGGGAAACTAGTGATCATCTAATCTTGTTAAAGTCATTTCAGTTATCAATGTCTAGAAGAAACAGAGAGGAAAATGCAATTGGCAAGGGAGGGATTGCTGTCAGGGCAATAGCATTTCCTCTAGCATCAGAATTGAATTAATCTTGTATAGATTGTGTCCTCACCCATAGGCACCATTGCTGATGAGTTTTGTCATCTCAAAGTCCAACTCAGAGGGTTTTCTCCGGGACCGCAAGGCTGTGCTGAGGCTCTGAGACTGAGGACAAGAAGAGAGGCAATTACTAAAACAAATCAAAAAGATAAAATCTGCATTTCACTGGTACACCTGCTGTAAAGATCAATACATTCATCAGTTTGAGTGCTTACTGAGTCGTCTGTCTCTGGGGTTTCCGCAATCCCACTGTCACAGCTGGTCAGCTGAGCGATTTCTACAGAGACACGTAGCAGAGGAGCAGAATCGGTCAATCTGTACTTTTACAGCTCTTAATGCACAAGTTAGTGCCATTTAAAATGCTTTATAGGGACAATACAAGAAGAATGAAATGAATAATAAAGAAAACAAAAACAAGAACATTTAAAAACAGATAAAGGGGATTAGAACATGAAGCCAATGAAATAAATGATTAAATAAAAACCATATATTTTGATCAAATCATTTTAGAGAGAACAGAATGTTTCTAGTGTACGATGCATTCATGTGAACCCCATGAACACGCTGAGCAGTGCAGTTTGTGAAACATAATGCTTAATTGCTGAGTGACTGGGACCAACAAACCAGACAAAAACAACAGACTTTAGCCTTTATTCACCTATTATGTCTGAGGTGCTGACTCCATGATAATCTGAATTGAGAATAAATGGGCTGGAACCCAGATGTGGCAACACCAACACATGTCCAACACTGTGAAAATCACCGCTCCAGAACAAGTGCTCATTATAAGCCACCTTGCATCTTCAACATGTTTTCTGTGCGTGTATGTTTGTGTGCAATCATGCCGACGTGCATGTGTGTAATTTCACAGGGGTGTTTGTCGTGTCCCTCGAGGGCCTGTAAACACATTTCCACTGCTATTTAGCATCTGTCCTCGCTTGTAGGTTTGCTTCAGGCACAACAGGCACTGGGCAAATGAAACATAGGAGACACTCGGGGGAAATGAACGGAGAGACTGGCTGATGAGCCTGTGTGGATGTATAGAAGGCCTGTGGGGAGGCCATTCCTTCCTAATTAGTCATAATGAATGTTGTTGGTTACTGAATCTGGAGAGACAGAGGGTCATTTGAAAGACAGGCTGTTCAGTGCAGGACATCTTTTGAGTTCTCTCCACAGCTCAGCTCCTTCACAGCATTACCACAACAGCTCCCCTTGTTCCTTATTCAATGTGGTCGTATTTACCACATTACTAATGTATTATTGAAGATGCAAGATAAGAATATGATCGCTAATCATCAGCATTCAGAAAGGATTAACCCATTTTGAATAATCAGTGTATACCATTTCCTCCTGTTCTGCTAATCGGGCTGCTTGTAGCTCTAACCAGTTATCTGTATTTTATGATGATGATGATGACCAGAGTCCTTCCTGTACCTTCCAGGGGGTCTCTCGTGAGGCCCAGCTGGCTGATGATGTAGCGAGGGATGTCCGTTTTGATGCCTCGACCCTCTTTAGCGTGTCCCTCAGCAGCCTCCAGAAGGTAGTAAAACTCCTCCGGGTCAAACTCCTGAAGATACGACACAACACCTCAGTATGCGCCCGAATGAACAGTGTTTTAATTGAAGTGAACAAAGGTGTCGCTATTGTTTCAGGGACTAATGTTTGTGGTTTTTTTCTGTTTACAATGGATCAGTATGTCTCAGTCTGAAAGTCTGATGAACACCTATCATTGTAGTTTAAGTGAACTGCAGGAATTATGGCCCTTTTTGACACACTTTTAGAAATGAGTGTATTTTAAACACATCTGTGACATTTCACTGAGCCCAGGTTGTTCAGATTTCTGTCTTTACGAACAGCTCAGATTCCCCCCTGTCCTGTCACTGGTTGTTGTAGAAGCTATTAACATAAAATGTACAACACCCCTTAAAAACACAACTCCAGAACAAGTGCTCCTTATAAAACAGCCTTTTCTCCTCCTGTGTGTTTGACCTGATGGTTCAACAGCTGGGTAAGCAGGAAAAACATTGACTATCCCATTTTAAAGGCAGTTCTATGACAGAACACGTACCAGACATTCCAGCAGTCGAGCAGGCCGGGCGATGATGATGAGGATCTTCTTCACCAGTTCTCTGATGAAGTTTACCTCCTCGCTTTCTGACCTCTCTGTAGACTACACGGACACCAACCAAAAACAGAGGAAACATCTCAGCCACCTCACATGATCACGAGCTGGTTAAAGTTACCACAACATACGAGTCACCGCAATTTTCTGAACAATAAATACCTGTGATCTGAAAAACCAGTTGTGAAGGTGCCCCCCTGGATGAAAAAATATTTCACCTGTTGTATTTTCTAGGTCAGGCAGCTGGAAATGATACATGTACTTGCTATTTAAAATATTACCTTTCCATTCACTTCCAGGTTTTTAAAGGGTAATCATAAAAAGACAGAGCTGTGACTCTAGTTTTATATACGAGAAGCTCAAACTGGGGCGAGGTCTTCCTGCTTCAACATCTAAAACAGCAGCTCAGTAACACTGCTATGTGATTTCTCTCCTCTGAAAACATCTTTAAGGTTTATCAATATGCGCTCACCTCCTGAACAAGTCTCTCCAGCTTGTCGGTGAGTTCGCAGAAGTAGCTGGAAGTGATGAGTCCCAGCCGACTCTTCTCCAGACAGTCGCGGGCCAGTTCAATTATCTGGTGGTGGGCAAAGCCAAGCACACCATCTGCCAAAGGGAGGACGCTCTCTGGAGAGTTGCTGCGGATGATCTCCTGAATCCTTTCCTCCATCTGAGCTGTGGCCTGCGGAAAGAAGGGGAGGTGCAAGGTTGGTGATGTACAGGGTAGAGTAAGTAATGGCCAGAGGCAGCAGTAGCAAACTTATTGTGTGGTGTTACCTTAGGAAAGCGCTCCTTGTAGACGTGATTCATCATAATAATCTCGTTGTCATAACATGATGGAGATCTGCCAGGGCTGAAAAATAAATCAGAGCCTGAGTGGCACCAGTGGCATGCGATACCACAAGAAGCTAGTGTTCCATTTGCAGGAGGTAAGCGAATACCTGAGACTGCGTGAGCGGGGTCGCATGGCTGTGGCTCTGCAGCATTCATCGCCGGAGATGCTCTCAGTGCAGAAGTGCTTGGAGAGGAAGTGCAGTTCATCAGGTGTGGGCTGGAAGGGCAGCTGGTGCAGCTTCTCCTGTGATGAACAGGACGACTGGAAATGAAACAAATATATATTCAACATGAAAAAAACCCCCCAACATGTCAATTACTAGATTCGCATCTGTGCATGATACTGCTGAACTGAATAACTAAGAGCTTGACCTCGCCATATCCCAAAAACTCTTCCTTGGACAGATGGTGTGAACAGCAGAGACCAAAGAGCACACAAACTAAAACACAATCACCATATGGCTCATTTTCAATCCCCAAGACCTTTGGTAACTCCAGCGATTGTCTGCTAGTGTGTGTACACGCAGGTTTTGTCTGCTTCATAGAAATGATTATGCTGATATATCAAAACAATTACGTTCTTTCAGATTCAAGTTACAGGGACAGAGAGAAAAGTAGGCAGAGGAAGTAAACACAATAGCAGGGAGTGTGTGGGCGCGTCAGGGTGCCCACTTGTCAAGGTCAGGTTTTCTCTGGAAAAAGCATTTTGTGTTTGTTCATAAACACTCTGCACATGGAGCTTCAGAGACAGGAGTCAATACAGTGAACCAGAGACGTGACGGGGGAACGGCAGAGCTCACAAGGTGCAGAGCCACTTGGGCCAGCGGTGCTGCTCAGTAAGCTGCTCACAGCCATAGAAAACTTCACCAGTAGATTTCAAATCACAACCAGAATTCAGTCTTCTACAAAGGGGAAAACTGTGGCTTAAAAAACAATTGAGATGTGAACACTGTGGTCAGAGTGTGAGTTTGTTCATCTTGGTTTTGTAAAACTATTTGTTCTTGGACATTTGAACCTGATTTTTAAAAGCTTAACCGGGGTCGGGGAGCTGCAAATTAGCATTGAATACACTGCATTGAATGACTGCATTGAATGACTGCATTGGAGTAATTTTAACTTCACTCACTCATTTTTGCCTCAGGTTGACTTAAACTGATTTTATTTGACCAACTGATTCTGGGTTTTGTTGGAGCTGAAGGATTCATAATTTCATATCAAAATCATGATATGAAAGAGAAAGCTGTGATTTTAACTAACTTACAGCACATGAATAACCATTTTTTACTTAACAAAGCAGGCCAGTGACAACTACTGCCAGTAAGTTTACTCAGCTCTCTTATGCGAGTTGTTGTGGTTTGTATCCTGCTTCCTGTCTTGTGCTTTTATATTTGGTTAGACTTCCTGTCCGATGTCTGCTTACCTGCCTCAGGTTTACCCCGGTTCACAATCACCATCCATGGCTTCCTGCTGCTCGTTATCCTCTGGTCTCCTGTCTATATAATCCTTCTTCCTTCCCTCAGTCTGGTTGCTGGTTCATTTTGCCTCCGCGCCTTGTTGCCCCTGTCCTCTGCTTGCTATCTCCATTCACCACACCCCGCTTGTTCATGTACTCTTGTAAGTTTGACGCCGTCTCCCGTTTGTGATCCCGGCCTGTTAGCAGTTCTTTTTATTGGTTTCTCCAGTCTTGCTTTAGTTTCTTACCCTGCTCCCTGACCTACTGTATAGTTTAGCACTTTGGAAGTCTTTGTTTGTCCCTGTCAGGATGAGCCCATGTGTTTTTTCCAATTAGTCTCGTTCTCTACCATTTAATAAAGCCCTACCTGAACCTTCCCTCGCCTCGTGTGTCTGCACATTGGGTCCTACCTAGTCCTTAACCGTAACGCGAGTTAGTTAAAAATGAAAAATAAACCTTGGCTGTTGCCTGGTTAAGGTGCATGCCAGTGTCTGTACAAACCAAGACCGTGACACACGACACACTGCACGAACAATGTGCTTTAGGTAATACAAACATTTAGCTGATGTATATCTGTAGTAACTGGATTTAGTATAAAGAAACAGTGGGTTTACTCAGAGGTTTACTGTTCTCTGAAAGCAGGATTTTATCTCATCTAATTCACGTAGAAACATATGTGTGTTGTTAAATACAACAAACGCCGGCCCATCTTCCAATCGATTATTACTACTCTTGATATTTTGGTTGTATTTAGCTGAAATGGATCAGGTTGACCCGTTATATCTCGGGTGTGTGTCTTGATGCTTACAGAGACAGTGGAGCTGGGTGTGTTGGTTCCATATCCAGAGGAGGGAAGGGAGGCCAGCGACCAGCGGCGACCATCAGTCCTGTCACACAACAGCAAAGACGAACAGAACTGTCAGACGTCAAAGTCTGACACAGTGGCTCAAAACACACTAACAGATGTGAAGTATTTGCCTTTGTTCAAAGACAAATTTGCTGAAATGTCTTCAGAAACATGAAATATGCTTAATTTCCATGTTTGTATCAAAACATGTGAACTAACTCCTAGAGTCCATATGATCACATGGTACAGATAAATCGTGTTAGAGAAAACAGATCAGAGCCCACACACTGATCCACTGCTCCACAAAATCATTTTTATTCAGGCCAAACCATCACTCTAGAGATACCAAATCTTTACAGCTTGTACTCTGACCTGATGCCGTCACAATGTCAGGTGTGACACCACACCCAGACCAGTCAGCACAAAAACAACAAGACCCACAACATGTTAATCCACCCACCACATTACACCACAAAGCCACAAACCAGTTCCTGTTGTATGGATCTAATAATTGGCCAAATAAATCCTTATTCAGCCACAATTAGTGCTTTCCAAATGTTTCTTTCAGTTCATACACAACTTCTGCAACCACTATTTCTTATACAAAGATCAAATTCATAACACATTGTAATCAAACTAATGTCGACCAAACGTCCTCATTCTGGCCGTGCGGGGACAGCGTGTTTAATCTGTACACCCAATGTGTCTCCCTCTGGTGACGCTTCTCTCGATCCTCACCCCCTGAAGAAACGGCAGCCGTTTCTGTGTGTACCTTACTGGGTCATGCTGTTTTTGTGCTGATTGGTCTGGGTGTGGTGTCGCACGTGACATCAGTTTGAAGGCGTATGCAGGTATAGTATGTCAGGTCGGAGTACAAGCTTTAAATACCCAGTGACGTGGTGGTTTGGCCTGAATGAGGACAATGGTGTCGAGCACTGAATCAGTGTGTGGGCTCTAATCTTTTGTCTAGCAGTGTTACTCCTCGACCTACACACCTGATGCAAAGACGTTTGTCTTGGGGAGGTGCATGCACTTTTCTTAACGTATTTCTAGATGAATGGTGACCTTTCTTTGCTGTTGCTTGAAATCAATTTTACTGGTTCCACTACACAGGACAGCAGAAATTAGAGAAACAATAAAAGCACTGAGTGTAAAGCTGAAACTAGATGCCAGAATGATGTAGGCCTATAACAAAACCTCAGCGTTGAGCCGAGACAAATGAAGGAATGAGGGTATGAAGAATACAGAGTACTGCGGTGGGGTTATAAAACTAAAGGTCAAACCAAAGCCTAACATGAAGTTACCTGTTTGCTCTGTGGCAATGACTGTGGATTATAATAAAAATACACAATTAAATGATGTGCTGAGAAATGGCATAATCAATATGTTATCGCTGCTGTTTTGAAAGAAGTTGACTATTTAGGCCGTTGCCGGCCGAGGAAACGTTCCAAGTTAATGTCCTTACTGGCTGACACTGGTCAACAGCTATACAATATCTGTATCTGAAAAATCTCCTACATATCCATGGCTGTGTTACCTTCGTGCAAAGGAGAAATGAGCAGAGGCACTAGGAGAGAAATTTCTGGGACTGTCTTGTGGGCTTGTTCCTGCAAGAAAGACAGAAAAATACAAAAATGTGTTTTTTTGATAAACCACCATCAATGTCTGACAGAGTGCGTTTCAAATGGTCATTAAATAGTCAACAAAATAACGCCTGCTCATATTCCCTGAAAGATAAAACCTGTGTGTAGAAATTCTGTTTCCACTCATGCATTCTCATTTACTCTGCTTAAGCTGATGGAGGAGCTGCAGCCAGTCCCAGCTCAAGTGACATACCAACCAAAAACATCTAGGGCTGCATTTAACTATTGTTTTCACAATTTTATTAATTTACAGATTATACTCTTGATTAATCAGTTAACTGTTTGGCTTGTGAAAAGTCAGGAAATAATAAAAAGCCTGAATAAAAGTAAGTAGGAAGTAAAAGTAAGTAGGAAGCAATAAAAAAAGTCTGAGGTGATAAAATCAAAATACTTGTTTTGCCCACAAAACCCCTCACAACACAGAGTATATTCAGTTTCCTTTCATATAAGACAAAGAAAAGCAGAACATTTAGAAGCTGGAACCAGAAAGAACCTTTTCTTTGCAATATGATTATTTTTCTGTCCGTTGACTGACCTATCAACGACCTAACTAAACGTTGAAGCTCTAAAATGAGCACTGAGACATAAAACTTTATAGTTAGTCACAGTGTAACAGCTGTCACAGTCATAGTTGCCACACAGAATCTGTTGTTACAAGTCGTCAACAGAAGTTGGGACACCTGTAGAAATTGTTTGCATCACTTTTCAAGGCTGCATTTACTTTCACTGCTGTAAATAAACGGGTTCTTAAAGTTTTGACCCAGAGGGTAAACAGTACATCTCCAGTAAACGTGCAGGACTCCCTCTCTCTGCCTACATTATCCAGGTCTGTACTGTATTTTCTTGCTGAAAACAGAAGTGCCACTGAACATGTTATACTGCCAGGAACTTTCTGAAAGGCACCAATTAGCTGTTGTGTAGGTGTTTAGTGTGAAAACCAACATTAGCATTAATCAAACAATTAGATCCGTCACTAAGGGAGTGATTAAACACTTCATTAACCAGAAGCTACAACGCCACCATCGCCTGTGATGATAAAGATGGGAGTCCCGTTAGTGATGAATGTCACCCATTTAATCACACTATAATCTTATTCACAGCCAATTACAGACAACTGTCCCCACCCATGGGAGTTGGACTGCACCTGAACAAACAATACAGAATATCTAATGTGCTCTGACTGTTAAGAACACTGCCATTTGAATAAGGTCCAAACATAATGTCATGACTCATGAGTACACCTACAGAACGAAGAACAGAATTCAGAAGGAACAATCAAATCTGTCACAAGTGT